AATTTTTCACTTACCAAAATTCACCGTCTTCCATTTTCACCATCAGCTGCTGCCTCAGCGCCGGCTCCACCGCGTTCCACTCCGATGAGCTGCGGGTGGCAAAGGGATCTCAGCCCCATTGACCCAACCGCTTCGTTAATTAATTAATTAACACTAACGAAGCCGCCTGGTCCTCACTTGTCACTCCAGGGTCCCGTCCACTCCACTTCTCCCCAAGGATTGCGCATCCGGATCAGACCCAGGGATTGCCCGCGGTAGTTGATCTGTAAAAGGGTGTTGTCAGGGTTTATGACCCAAAAAGGGATGTTTTCTCCCCAAAACGATGTCACCTCTCACCTGCTTGGCCCCCGTCACCGAATAGGCGTGGCCCTTCACCAGCTTCTTGAAGGTCACCGCCTCCATGTCAAAAGCGCTGGTTATCTGTGAGGTAAACGAGACAGCGGGCGCGTTAACGAGCCGCTTATTCAAAAAAACCCACAGAAAATCACAAAATTTGGGGTTTTTAACCCAAAAATAAATAAAGTTCCTCACGTCGATGGAACACCCGAGCAGAGAACCGCGCTCCAGCGCTTTGAGGATGATCTGGTAGAGATCAGCGGGGGGTTTGCGTAGGTCGTACCACTCAGTCACGCCGCCGGTGAAATCCTCGAAGCCCTCCGAGGTGCTGCCGCCCGACAGAGCCTCGTAGCAGCCGTTCACTCTGCAACAAAGAAGGGTTTTGAACCCCGTTTTTAGGGTTTTTCACCTTAAAACTGAAGAGAAGGGAAGGAGGAGGACGTACTTGGCGTAGGCTTTCTCCAACAAGGCGCTCCAGAACTCAGTGCCCTCGGCGGAGTGGACGAAGAGGAGTTTGCCGTCCTTGGTGGGCAGGTAGTCATCCACCACCACGTCCAGCCACTCGCCAAACTGCCAGATCTGAGGGGAGGAGACCAGGCCAAACAGAAACCTCCCCCGCTTATTTTATCCAGGGAGTTGTATTTTGGGGAGAAAACACGCGGTTTTGGGGCGCCTGTCTCCAGTGGGATGATTTATTGGGGGGAAAAAGGGTGGTGGTAACAGGCTGGTGTTAACGTGGAGGATGTTTCGTGGTGAAAAGCATCTGGTTTGGTACCAAAATGGTGGAAGGGACCCTCAAAATGGTGTGAGGAACCCCAAAATGGTGTGAGGAACCCTAAAATGGTGGGAGGGACCCTCAAAATGGTGGAGGGGAGCCCTAAAATGGTGGGAGGGACCCTCAAAATGGTGGAGGGGAGCCCTAAAATGGTGGGAGGGACCCTCAAAATGGTGGAGGGGGGCCTTAAAATGGTGAGAGGAACCCCAAAATGGTGGAGGGGAGCCCTAAAATGGTGG